TTGACCTTTTGTATATGTATACCGAAACAGAAACAGATTAAACAATTGTGTTTTTTTTATATATATAACGAAATATACATATTTATGTTTGCTATGTAGCAAAATGATGCAAACTATAACTACAACATACATATATTATTTTTATATTTATTATATGTGAAAGTTACTCTATATTATAATTGTATTTAATTTAGTGCAATAATTAAAAATCATTTAATCAAACACCACTTAAAATTTATTAATATTTATAATATTTTAATATTTATTTACATATAATGAGACAATTTTACGACCACATAAAAATATATAACTTATTTTAATTAAAAATAAATAAAATCACGTAACTAGCTAACACCACCTAAAGAATAATATTTATAAATATTGAGCAGGTATACAACACGAATTTTTCTTCACTTGTATTATCAAAAAACAAAGCCACATTAAAATATGAGTTACAAATTTAAGCCGTCAATATCATTTGTTTATATTTTTTTTTTATAAAAAAACGCTTCCCCAAAATGAAATTAATAACAGAAATACCAAAATATATGAGGCCTGATGTTGCCTCACTACATCCTCTAGCCGTCAATGCACCTCGCATAGTGCTTCCTCCGATCACTTTTGATCGAAAATTAATTTAATTGAAAATAGTCTAAAATATTCTTAAATTATTAAAAATAATATAAAATTATGTTCATTCTTGGCTTTAAAATGTTCTTTTTATTTTTGAGTGTAAAATTGATCACTTTTTTAATTATTTTAAAATTAAATTCTTTAAATATTTTATAAATATTTGGCTTTCAACTATTGGTTATAATTTAATTTATTAAAAATAATTTAATTTGAAAGTATTTTAGGCTCTTTTCCTTTAATTTAATCAATTTTAAAAATTAAATTAAATTATATTGATTTAATATTTAAGATAATTTTTTAAAAAATATTTAGAAATTATATATAAAAATATTATAAAATAATTTTTTATATATTAATATAATAAAAAAAATATCATAAAATATTAATTAAAAATTTTATAATTTAACTTAAAAAAGAAGGAAAAGTTAGAGAAAAAAATTATTCTGTGGTTCAGATAACTAACCACACAAGTAGTACAAGACGTTATTTTGTCATTAATTAGTGACCCAAATCAGCAGGCAACTAGCATTAATTGCATGAGAAACACAGAAAAAATAATTTTATAGTCAATTTGAATATCCTAGTTCACCCTCAACAAAATAATTTCAATATCATCAACAATTAAGGTTTAGATTAATGTTTTCGAAGCGATCGTATTAAAAAGTAAGAGTAGAACTATTATTTTTTGAGTTATAGATGGTTATAGTTATTGGGAGAAAAAATAGTGAGTTAAAAAAATTTATAACCAAATTTTCACTTTGAGTTTAGATTTTAAAAAGTTCATTTTAAAATAAAATTAAAAAATAAATAGTCAATTTTTACGAGCAAGTGGGTTTTTAGTAGCGGGTTTTGAAAACTTTTCTAGAAGATTAATTACAGCTTGTCTGTTGAAAGGGATCGGTTCGACCAGGACGAAGTCAAATAATAAATTTATTAAATATACATAAATATTTATTATCATTATAAAATTTAAGATTCATAAAATTAAAATTCTAATTTCTTTTGTGAATTTAACGTTTGATGATTTTGAGTATAACAATAAGGAATAACTTATCCTATCACTATGGTATAAATGATGAAATAAATTATTCCAATTATTAAATAAAAAATAAAATTTTTATCCATCGCTATTTTCTTATCCCATCACTATTTTACTTTGCTATCCCTCACACTAAACTGCCTGTTTAACTTCTTCATCTTCAGACTTCAACCATGACTTAAACAAGTGGTTTTTCCATCATAGTCTTTCAGAGGCAACAAGTTCGAATATTTTCTTTAATTTGTAGTGGGATTTTACTTTATTTTTATTTGGCAATAATTTTTAAAAAAAAAGGTATCCTTTTTCATATCTTAAAATTGTTAAATAAGAAGAAGGAAGAATTTATGTAATGTAAAATAGAGAAATTAAATATTATTAGCATTCCTAATGTGTACCACATTTTACACCACATGAAGCCACTAAGGATGCGTTTGATTAGATATCGAATGAACCTACAATTCTTGTAGCTTTGTCTATCATTGCAAGATTACTCAATGATCTCGTATCACAAGAGGTATTATAGTTGTAATGATTTCTTGAATGAAGGAATTTTTTGTTCGAATTCCAAATATCATAATATTTTTTTAATTTTATTTAGACAGCAACACATTATTATTCTTAGACACAATATTTTTTTTTATTTTGACAATCACACACCATTATTCTTAAAATTCTTTAGTAGAATTTCTAGCTCCGCCATTGAAATTATTAACTTAATGGTATTCTAAATCTTTATAAATAGGAGGGACACAATTTCTTAGTTTTAAAAGAGAGACAAGTAACTAGCAAGAAATTAGAAGGTATATTCAGATTTTCTTTAAATAATTCAGTGTTGCATCTTTTTTTATATCATAATAAAAAATATATCATAAAATAATAATTAAAATTCTTATAAAGAAAATATAATAATTAAAAATAGACGAAAAAAATTAAAGTTAAAAGGGGTGAGAAAGTAGCATTTATCCACTTGTTACAAGTTGTTAGAGCAAAAACAAGGGAGGATTCAAAGTGAGATCCCAAAATAGACTTGAATTGGGGTCATTCAATGAAAATAATTATTAGCGATATTTAATTTTTAATTGTTGATAAATATGTATTTTAATTGCGATTATCATTTTTTATATGTTCATAAAATATTTAGCGACATTAATTCTAATGACAATTAACTAATGTCAATAAAGATTTTAACACTTTTTATTAGTGTCAATATTTAATGCCGTTAAAAATTATTTTAATTGTTTTTACTGTTTATTGTATGATGAGCTCTTCAACTATTTGGATATTAACATATTCACTTGTTCTTTTTAAGTTGTCACAGTTTCTCTATCGAGAGTTAAAAGGATATCAAATTTAAGTAAATATTTTAAAATATATTTTTTATTATATTGCAGTGAAAAAAGTTGTAATTTATAATATTTTTCATAAAATTTTTGAATATCTAAAACTTTTTTTAAAATATTAAATAAATATAATTTAATTTAGCTTTGATAATTCGATAAATTAACTTTTAAAAAACGTAATATGACAAATTAAAGAAATGGAGAGAGTACCTATTAACAAGATAATATTTGATATGACTATATTATCACACTATTCTAATTAATTCATATTTAGTAATAAGTCTTGAAAAATTATTTGGGGAATATATGGAAAAAAAATATTTTCTTGATACATATTAAAAGTGACAACTAATAATAATGAAAATCTCTTTTTAAAATAATGAACAGATAAAATTGAACGGATGAGTGGATTATTTACGCCACTGGGTGTCTAATTCCGTTGGTAAATTACGTTATAGATATGTCAAATTCTACATTTAAAAGATATATATTTAAAGTTGGACACCCTTTAACAAAAGTAATACCTTCTGTATAGTTGTAATGATTTCCATTTGAACAAAGGAGTCTTTTGTTCAAATTCCGAATATCACAATATTTCTTATTTTATTTGGACAGCCACACACCATTATTTTTAGACACAATATTTTTTTATTTTATTTTGACAGCCAAACACCATTATTCTTAAAACCCCTTAGTAGAATTTCTAGCTCCGCCATTAAAATTATTAACTTAATGGTATTCTAAATCTTTATAAATAGTAGGGACACAATTTCTTAGTTTTAAAAGAGAGACAAGTAACTAGCGAGAAATTAGAAGGTATATTCAGATTTTCTTTAAATAATTCAGTGTTGCATCTTTATTTTATATCATAATAAAAAATATATCATAAAATAATAATTAAAATTCTTATAAAGAAAATATAATAATTAAAAATGGACGAAAAAAATTAAATAAAAGGGGAGAGAAAGTAGCATTTATCCACTTGTTACAAGTTGTTAGAGCAAAAACAAGGGAGGATTCAAAGTGAGATCCCAAAATAGACTTGAATTGGGGTCATTCAACGAAAACAACTATTAGCGACATTTAATTTTTAATTTTTAATAAATATGTATTTTACGATTATCATTTTTTTTATATGTCCATAAAATATTTAGCAATATTGATTCTAATGACACTTAACTAATGTCAATAAAGATTTTAACACTCTTTATTAGTGTCAATATTTAATGCCGTTAAAAGTTATTTTAATTTTTTTTTACTGTTTATTGTATGATGAGCTCTTCAAATATTTGGATATTAACATATCCACTTGTTCTTTTTAAGTTGTCACAGTTTCTCTATCGAGAGTTAAAAGGATATCAATTTTAAGTAAATATTTTAAAATATATTTTTTATTGTATTACAGTGAAAAAAGTTGTAGTTTATAATACTTTTCATAAATTTTTTGAATATCTAAAACTTTGTTTTAAAATATTGAATAAATATAATTTAATTTAGCTTTGATATTTAGATAAATTAACTTTTAAAAAACGTAACATGACAAATAAAAAAAATAAAAAGAGTACCTATTAACAGGATAATATTTGATATGACTATATTATCACACTATTCTAATTAATTAATATTTAGTAATAAGTCTTGAAAAATTATTTGGGGAATATATGGAAAAAAAAATATTGTCTTGATACATATTAAAAGTGAGAACTAATAATAATGAAAATCTCTTTTTAAAATAATGAACAAATAAAATTGAACGGATGAGCGGATTATTTACACCACTAGATGTCTAATTCCGTTGGTAAATTACGTTATAGATATGTCAAATTCTACATTTAAAAAATATATATTTAAAGTTGGACACCCTTTAACAAAAGTAATACCTTCTGTATAGTTGTAATAATTTCCATTTGAACGAAGGAGTTTTTTGTTCAAATTCCAAATATCACAATACTTTTTATTTTATTTGGATAGCCACACACCATTATTCTTAGACACAATATTTATTTTTTTTTATTTTAATAGCCACACACCATTATTCTTAGACACAATAATTTTTTTATTTTATTTTAATAGTCACACACCATTATTCTTAGACACAATATTTTTTTATTTTATTTTAACAGCCACACACCATTATTCTTAGACACTCTTAATAGGATTTCTAGCTCCGCCATTGAAATTATTAACTTAATGGTATTCTAAATCTTTATAAATAGGAGGGACACAATTTCTTAGTTTTAAAAGAGAGACAAGTAACTAGCAAGAAATTAGAAGAGGTATATTCTGATTTTCTTTTAATAATTCAGTGTTGCATGGGAGTAGCTTGCAATATGTATATTTTTCTTATAAAAAATGACTAGCAAGTGTGGAATATGTTTTCAATTACCGTTTTAATTAACTTAGAAAACAAATATTACTTTTTTTCTTTCAAATTTCACACCCAAACGCCTATTAAATAAACTTATTTTGCGATAAACGATTTTCCTTCCTACAGGCCGTTATAACTTAATCATTTGAGCTCAAACTAACACCCATTTGTTCAATACTGTTTTTTCTCTTCACTATATATATAGTAACTTTAAAGAAGAAGAAAAATGGTCGTTGGATTTGGTGGTGAAGCGGAGATTACACGTCGATGTGCCAATCATCATCCTTCTGTTTGGGGAGACCATTTTCTTACCTATGCTAATCTCTTGGTAATTAAGTGCTTGATTTATGTTGTGAATATTATTCATGATTTTTAACAAATCATATTATAAACAAATTATGAAATTTATTTGTGTAGGGAGCCAATGAATGGGAAGAGAAGGAACATGAAGACCAAAAAGGAGGAGTGAGAAAAA